AAATACGTAACATACAACCAAAGGATAGCAGTAAAAAGAAAATACACAACCAAGTTGTCAATTTAATTGGTATTCACTCTCATAAATTTAAAACAAGAATAAACAAATAACTCAAACCATAGACAAGATTAAATTAAAACCAAAACCTCACATGTAAAATAATTGAATTAAATCCCTTGAATCAGAAACAAAAGGTGTAGCTACTCATAATCATAGACATGATAGCTAATTTATTAATAGAAAAATAGTACCAAGTTTAGAAGAATTGAAAACCCGGAGAAACGGAGACAGCCACTGACCTCCGAAGCCAAAAGAAAGTTTTCGCACTTTGTTGTTTCTCCGAACAAAAAACCGACGGACAAAACACGAAAATCTGCGGCCCTTTATAAAGAATTAGGTCAGCCGTAATTATTAAAACAAGGGTCAAAATTGCAGAATTGGTCCTTCAATTTTTCAGCCTCTCAACAATTGGTCCAAACTTTCTTCAATGATTGAATTCAGTCTATAAAGTTTCTTATTAGCAGCTTCTGCTCCCAACAACTTCAATACTTTGTAATTAGGTCCATCATTGAAGTAAATTTCTTCCTTTGCTCAAGTTGGATGATTTTTGCAGTCTCTTTTTGTATCAATTAGCTCCAAAAAGTTGTAAACTCCGATTTCCAGCTCCTAACACAAAACATGAATAAAACCTAATGAATTAAAACCATCCAAGTCCATAAACTCATAAAATAATAACAATTAAAGCATAATTTATGGACTCTATCATACAACGACCAACTGAAGCTGGTGAGCAAAACAATGAACATAATATGCTTGCTCATTCTCCTGTAGAATCTTTTGCTTTAATCCATTAAGCTTACTGTGTATATTAGAAACTCCGTCATAACCTTGGCCTCTCACCCTTGACAATAATAGTCCATTTTTGGCAAAAAAAAATTATCAATATCCATTTTCAATGATTCTGCAGAAGTGTCACTAACGTCCAAGAAACTGCTCAATCACTTTCCCATGATCATTGACAAATCTAACAACTATGGTCATTAATTTGCTCTTTTATTGAACTATCCCGAGCCCCATCAACCAAAAAAGAGAAAAAAATCTAGTTCCAATCTCACTGATGATAGCTTTTCTTACCTCTGTTGAACAAGAACTAGCCATTTCTTTTTGAATTTTTGGAGAAGTCATCTGATTATTTTTTGGGGCATTTGAGAACATAACTGCATTTACTTTCTCATTACGAGCACAATACCACTTTGCAATTTTAATAAAATTACCTTGTTAACTCATCATGTCCACGAAAAAGTAAACCTTGCACCAAAATCAACCGAACCACATTTAAAATGGCTGTCACTCGGATGCGGTAGTCAATCTCACTTTCCTCTGTGTGTTTTTCAAACACATAATCTACATTGCCATACTGATTTTTATAACCCAAATACTGATCTCTAGCATAAAGATGCTTAATATTCCCTTGTCCTTCATGCTTGCGAAACTTTTCCAAGGCTTTTTTCCAACAATTTAAACCAGTTTCGGTTAAAACATCATCTTCATGCTTGTGAGTACCTCTAGCAAACAAATAACAGTAGAAACATAATGCTACATCCAATTCTACACTATATTCCAACCAAACAAATTCATCAAAACAATGAGATTGAAACTTTCTCAAAGCTCCACTGATATTCTTTTGTGGGAAATTGTGCGCATATGGTCGACAAGCACTTTTTAGCACATGTCTCCTCAGTTCATCTCTAACACCAGGAGGGTCACTATCTATTTGTTTATGTAATCGTGGATCACCTACAATATCATCATCTAACAATTCCACTTCAATTCGAGATTTTTTATTACTATCTTCATCATTCTGCACAAAATTTATATTATCAACAATAGCATTAAGGCCATCGGATGTAGGTTCCACTTGAGTTTGTGGTGGAACACCTAAATTATCCGTTGTAGCATGTGGGCTATTAGACGTAGAAGGTCCATTAGCCGGTCTGGGAACTGTGCTAAGATATCTTCTCAAAGTCATACTTATTTCCTAAATTGCAATAACAATATTTTCATTTAAATTGAATACAAATAACATACACCACAAACGATCCATTCTCCCTAATCACATTACCAAATTAAATTTTATAAATATAAAAAAAACAAAAGCATTCTAACAATAACCAAAAAAAAAAAAGCCGATAGCACAAAAACATAACGCATAAATAATTTATTATTTATCACAATACATGAAATTTTTTTAAAACATTATAGAGTAATAATAAAGAGAAGATTTGTAACCTTCTCAAAGGGTGAGATCGAGAATTTGAGTTGTTGTGGCCGTCGTCGGGTGGAATTTGAGAAGAAGGTGACTTTTGGTTTTTTTTCCTCTGATCGTGGTGGGAGGGTTGCCGATCGATAAAAAAAATAAAAAATAAAAAATAAATAAAAAAAATCTTAGGAATGTTTGGGTTTGGGGGTTATTTCAATGATGGGCAATAGGAAAGGCCAGTGGGCTTATTTTTTAGAAAAAATGGGCTCACATTAAATGATATTGGGCACTTCATATATAGTAAAGAGGATGGACTTCGTGGGCTAATTTTTTTTAAAAAACCCAGAACTACAAAAAACGACATCGTTGTACTTAATAATAATTTTAAAAAATAAAACCCAGCCCGTCTTCTTCTTCCTCATACCCCCCTTCTTCCACTACTTGGAGGGCTGAGAGAAGGCAGCGGCACTTAGGTGGTTCTACCCATGCTGAAGTCGCCCATGATTGGTTGAGATACAGTTGAGGACATTGAAGAGATTAGTTGATTGCATTGGAAAATGTAGTAATGATGAGGATCTGATACAGTTCTTACTTAGAGGATAGTTGTGTTTGGGGTATCAATTTGAGGTTCTGAACACCACCGGAATGTAGAATCTACGAAGCCCAAAAGGACTAACGGAGAAGCCGCTCACATTAATATTAATACTCCCTCCGTCCCGGATAAATCCAGCGTGAAAATGTACAATTTTTTTAATTTGATCAACACACGAAATGTACAATTTATTTTATGTCTGTAGCTTTCACTAATACATCTTCTAGTTATTTCTATAAAAGTTAATTACATATATACATTTATTTTACAACTTAAATTTAATCAAAATTTTTATCTCAAAAAATATTGACAATGGATCTTGATAGAATGATCTCGTTACGTAGATTAATTTGATATATAATACATTTTTAATTATTCATGTATTAAAAGATATAATCGTTTGAAAAAATAGGAGAAAACTAAAAAAAAATTAAAATCAAAGTAAATGGACATTGTGTTCCTTACTGTTACTCTTATGGATATTTAAGTCATTTCAATTTAATTAATTTTGACTTTTGTCAAACTAGACTATTTTCTTGGGACAAATTTTTTTATTAAATTGGACTATTTTTGTAAGACAGAGGAAGTATTATTTTCTTGGACAAAGGTAAATTCTATTATTTTCACCACTTTGCTGCTATCAACTGTACAGCTCTAACTTCTCCATTACAAGGTTCTTTATAAACTAACTCCTATAGAATTCAAAAACCAGACGTCATCATTACTTCTCCTTCTACAATGTACTTGTATTTTTCATGCTACTTCCCTAACAAGACATAGTATTTTATCATTGGCTTGCCTATGATCTTTCTTAAATTTCCTGGCATTTGGCTCTGCCCAGATGTGAATAACCGCAGAATCAATAGCAGCAAATAATACTCGTTGTCTCTATTTGTACCTCCAGATTTTCAATAATCTTACAGTCCAGTTCCTTAGGTTTTTCACTGTGCACTTCAACCCCAGCCACTTGAAAATTCAGCTATGACCTCATGCAACTGCATGCAGTTAAAGAAATGGTGATCAACTGATTCTTCACTTCCACCACTCAATTCATATATTGCAGGTTCTTTCAAGATCCTGATTCTGTGTATTTTGTCTTGAGTAAGTATTTTGTTTTTCATTGCCAAGCAGACTATGAAACTGTGCTTAGGTACAACATAAGGACTCCATATTAAAATGTTCTAGCTTCACTAAACTTTATTTGTTCACACATTAACCATTTATATCCACCCTCGTGTAAGGCCTTCCTCCATTTGCTGTCCAAAGCCCATTATGTACACCATTCTTAAGTTCATCCTTATTTCACATAATTTTCTTTCAGGGCTAGCTATAATTGTTGGGACTTGGTATTCCAAGATAGTTTCCTTTTTAAGGTAATACACATGAATCCAATTAATCCCCAAGAATTCCGTTTTACCTGCGAAGTCTCATAATTGTTTCCCTGGGAGTAGCACTATATGCCAAGTCTCATATCATGGTATTTATTATGTAAACCTCCTGTTGACTTCTCTTTATAAATTACATCCCAAGTCACTAGTGACATATTCCTTCCTGGCTATTTTATTTTCCCATAAGAATTCTCTAAATATACTTTTTATTTGTCTAATCACTTTCTCGGGAATTATAAAAATGTCAACCCAATAGGAATTCGTACTCAAGAGAACTGAATTAACCAATAATAACATGTCGGGATAAGAGATAAATAATGTAATCTTCATCCGTCTCATTCTAATAATTTACATAATTGCAGGGACGGATTTATAGGGGGTAGGGCGGTCGATGGACTTGGACTGAAATATTTTTTATTCACGTTATTTCAGTATGTTTTGTTGAAGAAGATGGGGATATTGGGCTGAAAGTTGGCCGTTTTGGTTTTTACTTTTACTACTTTTTTCTAATATAAATAACAAAGACAAACTCATTCGGCCCAAATGTCTTATTTTTAATATAAACTGTGGGCTTTCCCTTAAAACCTTTTGTTTTGGGTTTCTAAATTTAGTGAACATTTCATATACCCTCTAATTAAAAATAGAGAATTCTCTCTCTGCACTACCATTCTCTCTCTCTAGATCCATAAAATCTCCCTACAGCAGCAGTGTCCGAATTCCCCTGCCCTCCATGGAAATGGAGGCAGAGGGATCTCCTCCTATGGACCACGATACGGGTGATCCCCCTACAAACAACCGAACCAGCAACGAGCAATTGGAGACAGCTCAACCAAACGAAGCCACCCGAGTTAATGGTGGTGAACAAATCAAATCCAATGTACCTTCCTTCAAGGAAACACTCCTGCAGGGTGAGCAACCCACAAAACACCGAGGATTCCACCTGGAAAAAGTTACTACTGGCCCAGGAGACGTGTCCTACTCTGTTGAAGACGGCATGCCGACAATTCAATTTGTGGATCGCGTCATACGAAAGATGGAACGAGCCATGTCGTACTCGATTGTAGTGCGACCCCTAGGGAGAAATTTCACGTTTGCTGCTATTGAAAAAAGATGTATGGCTCTGTGGAAACCGAGAGGGAATATTCATCTCGTCGACTCATTTGACGGCTATCATGTTATTCGAATGTCCCATGAGGAAGACTACTACAATGCCCTACTAAATGGTCCGTGGAAAATTGTGGACCACTATATCACGATCCTCCTTGGAAGATTGATTTTGACCCGAGCGAGAGAATCTAAAGGCGGTGGCAGCACTGGTGAGAATTCGGCTCTCCGGTTCACTACTTCCATGAGGATCTGCTGAGGGATATCGCAAAACCACTGGGAAGATATCTTAAAGCAGATCAGAATACTCTGTTGGTGAAAGAGGGAGGTACGCCCGAATAGCGGTGGAACTGGACCTTACGAAGCCATTGGTGGGGAAAGTTAAGCTGGACGGAAAGACATACACTGTAGAATATGAAGATTTGCGGAGAATCTGCTTTACCTGTGGGAAGTACGGCCACACAGCTGAGGAATGCACAGTATATCCGGTCAACTCCCCGGACTCTAACACGGTGGCAAACAACAACGACCCAACGACAGAGCCTAAGCCCAATAACGGTCATAGAGATGTGACTGGGACAACAACAACGGTAACATCCGACCCAGAAAAAGTGGCGCACATCCCAAGGCAACACAACGTAACCCCCAACATCGGCGAGTGGAGTTACGCGCAAAAGAGGGGTCGACGGCCGATCTTCGGCGGAAATCTTGGAGGCCACCCCAACGAAGTTTCCAGTCAGAAAGGACAAAAGGCGAAACAAATTCAGTCGAACCCGTTTGCCCTGCTGGCTAATCTGACACAGGAACCATCGGCGTCTCAACCACGACCAAATGGAAAATCGATGCCAGTAAGTGCTCTTCCGATCATTAACAACCAATTTGACCCATCTATTGGTTTTTCTTCAGGTAAAGCTCCAGTGAAGAAGAAGGCCCAACCCGGAAACAGGGCAAAGGCACAGGACCCAGTGAATGTTCCCTCCAAGAGAAAAGCGGAGATAGTGGGCCGAGATAAGCCATGGGCGAAAAAGTCAGCACAAAACGACCCAATAACACAGTTAACTAGCCCAATGAGCCACAACGTTCCCCAAACCCAACAAGGCCAGGACCATCAACATGCCTATTGCTCTCCATCCCCTTCCCACCAACATACCCACGCAGAACCTCCTTCCCCTGCAATGACAAGCCAACCCACCGTCGTCACCACTGAGCAGGACCAGATTTCTGCACCCACCGTCGAGATAGCCAAACACACAATAGTTAACATCCCTCATCCCAATCCCAGCCGAAAACCAGATAGCTCCACATCTATCATACCCAACAACCTAGAAACCACTACAATGGAACCAAAATCGGGAAAACCGCCGGACCCAAAATATGCATTTCACCTAAAATCGAAGCTACAATTCAGTGGGTCTTCAAGCGGGAAACCACCTGACCCATCCGGGGATCTGATAGGGGGCGAAAAGCAATACAGTAATGCAATGCTGGACCACCGTTTAGTGGCGGAAGACGCGCACTGGTCCGACGCAGACGAGGAAACTCTGCCGGACGCCGGCAGGTAATATTTCCCATCTCAACTCTTAATAAAAAATTTTAAATGGCTAAGCACTTATTAGCATGGAACTGTCAAGGTATTTCGAATAAAAAGACGATTGCTGCTTTAAAAGACTTAATTAAGAGTCATAGGATGGATATGGTTGCTATATTTGAACCTAGAACTAGCGGCTCTGATGCCGATGCTATTGTTAAAAAAATAGGAATGGCGAATTCGCACAGGATTGAAGCCGTTGGATACTCGGGGAATTTGGTTACTCAGGTGGACAACGTGTCGGTAGAAATACTACACAACGACTGGCAATTTCTCCATGTTAAAGTGTTGTTTCAAGATAACTTGTGGTGTCACTTGACCGTAGTGTATGGCAGTCCTCAACCACTGACCAGACGTACACTATGGGAGAATCTTAATGTGTTTGCAGGTACAAACTCTATCCCATGGATTATTATGGGAGATTTCAATGCATACACATCTGAACAAGACAAAACAGGAGGAAGAAAATCTTATGGTTGTCGAAGGTTTAGGGAATGGATTGACAGGAATGCATTGAATGATCCAGGTTTCTCGGGCTCGAGGTTTACATGGCAAAGAGGACTAGTTCACGAAAGAATTGATCGGGTTTTCACGAATGACAAGTGGGAGGACTTTTTCATGGACACATTGGTGAAGCATCTCCCTAGAACAGCCTCCGATCACTCTCCATTGCTGGTGAAATTCAAAGCTAGAGGTGACAGGTGGCAAGGAAAGAAATTTTTTAAGTATTGGTCTGCCTGGGAGGCGCACGATTTGTGGAATGACTGGTTGGCTGAACATTGGGACAGGCTATCATGTTTTCCGGTGGCTATACAGAAGTTAACAGTCCAGCTTCAAGAGTGGAAAACTCATGTGTTTGGTGATCTAAACAAACAAAAGAATAGGGTATTAGCGCGGCTTCAAGGGTTGCAGAAGGCGTTGGCTCTCTACCAATCCAACTCACTGCGAAGACTAGAACAGCAACTTCGTGAGGAATACGAGACAATTGTAACTCAGGAAGAACTGTTACGGGTCCAAAACGCTAGAGCCATCTGGTGGACACAGGGAGACCAAAACACTCGGTACTTCCACTCTATGCATAAACAGAAGAAAATAAAAAACAAGGTGAAGGCCATCCGTCTGGGAAATGGCAATTGGTGCTCAGACCCGATGGAATTATGTCGCCAAGCAACCTACTACTTCAGGGAAGTCTACACAGGCCCGGACTCAGCTCAAAATACATATAGTATTCGTGGTAAATTCCCCCCTCTGACAGAATCTGAAGTTCATCTCCTAGAAAAGCAGCTGGACGACAGTGAAGTCAAGAGTGCGGTGTTTGGGATGAACAAATTCAAGGCGTGTGGGGTCGATGGCTACGCAGCAGGATTCTTCCAACACAATTGGGAGACAGTGAAGGGGTCAGTATGCAGGATGGTGAGAGATGCCATGCTATCTGGGAAAGTTGACAGAAGGATTAACAAGGCAATGGTTGTTCAACTACCAAAGGTCAAGAACCCAAAAGCCTTCCAGAATATGAGGCCGATTAGCCTGATCAACGTCTCGGCTAAAATAATCTCAAAAGTTTTAGCTAACAGGTTGAGGAAAGTAATGAATAAGTTAGTACTACCGACGCAATCCAGCTTTGTACCGGGACGAAGTATCATGGAAAATATTGTGGTTGCACAAGAGGCGGTGCATACAATGAGGTTGACAAAAGGAGAGAAAGGCTGGATGGCGCTGAAAGTCGACCTAGTCAAAGCTTATGATAGAATCAAGTGGAGCTTTATACAGGACACAATGGAAGACGCGGGAATTCCAAAGGCTCTCACCTCGGTGGTCATGAGCTCTCTACACACGGGATCAACGCAAATCTTGTGGGAAGGCAAACTGGGTGAGGAATTCCAACCTACGAGAGGCGTTCGTCAGGGCGATCCTATTTCGCCTTATATATTTGTTCTCTGCATGGAGAGACTATCGCAGGCGATAAATCTCAAAGTTATCAATGGAAACTGGAAGCCTCTAGTATTCGGCAATGACAGATTTCCTCTATCCCATTTACTCTTCGCCGATGACCTAATCTTGTTTGCGGAAGCCACCCAAGATCAGGTGGGAGAAGTTAGAAGAACACTAGCCGCATTTTGTGTTGCATCAGGGCAAACGATCAGTCAACAAAAATCAGTAGTCTACTTCTCTCCAAATGTGGATATCACTGAGGCTGATCTTCTGAGCAGTGAACTGGGGGTTCGAAGGGTGAACAATCTGGAGAAATACCTTGGAACTCCGATAATTCACGGAAGAGTAACAAAGGATATATACTCTGAATGGATTTCTAAAGCCCAGAAAAGAGCTTCAACATGGAATACAAAGAAAATCTCGTTGGCGGGTAGGCTAACTCTATGTCAGTCCATTCTGTCAGCTGTTCCTCTTTACCTTATGCAGTCGACTATGTTACCGAAAGGGGTGTGTGATGAGTTTGATAAAATTAGAAGGAGTTTCCTGTGGGGTAGCAAACCGGGTGACAGAAAGCCTAACATGGTGAATTGGGAGACTGTTTGCCAACCTAAAAATAGAGGTGGTCTCGGACTAAGGAAACTGAGGGAGTTTAATTCGGCATTTATTCTCAAATTTGCCTGGGGATTAGTCGCGGATCACAGCAGTTTGTGGAGTAAAATCCTGAGAACAAAATATAACGTGGCTCAGTGTGAGGTATTAGATGACATATCGAGAACTAATGCATCTCATTTGTGGAGAAGCATTGCTACAGTTTGGGGTGAACTATCTAGGGCAGTGAAATGGGTGGTTGGGAATGGAGAAGTGGTCAAATTTTGGCAGGACAATTGGGTCGATTATAATGTAGGGCCTTTATATCACTTGGCTATATCCCCAATCCCTCCATCTCTGTGGAACAAACGAGTGGCTGAATTGTTAACCCCGTCGGGTTCATGGAATTGGAGTCTTATATCTCCTTTCTTGACGCCGGAAATTACAGACAGATTAAGGGCAATCCCTCCACCGCAAAGAAACTCGACCAAAGACCATGTCGTCTGGGGGCTGACTGAATCCGGGAGGTTCTCAACAACAACAGCTTACACGCTTCTTATGCAAGGGAGATGGGAAGAAGCAGATAGAGGCTGGACCTTAATCTGGAAGTGGTGTGGTCCGGAGAGAGTCCGTATTTTCTTGTGGCTATTATACAGGAAGGCTCTAAGGGTGAATTCGGAGAGGATGAGAAGACATTTGACAAACGACGCAGCCTGTCATATATGTGGAGAAGAGGAATCCCTGTTCCACCTCTTCAGAGACTGCTACCGCAGCAAGGAGATTTGGCGTGGCTGCAACAACAACTTGGGCGCCGATTTTTGGTTAGGTTCGGATTGGAATGAATGGATTATCTGTAACTTGAAGTCGTCTGTTTTGCAGGAAGGTGCTGCTTGGCCAACATGGTTCGCAATCACGTGCTGGAGACTGTGGACTTCCAGGAACAAGGAAGTATTTGGGGACGAGATTGTGGAGGAAGGCTCCTTAAAATGTCTCATAAAAGCGACCGTGAAGGAAATCACTAGATCGAACCGGATCTTTGCCCAGAGTCAAGGCCGAAGTCATCTCCTTTTGCAAGTACAACACTGGCGCCCTCCACCCCATAACTCAGTTAAAATAAATACTGATGGGGCCAGGTCCGAAACCGTGAAAAAATCAGCAGCGGGGGGAGTTCTTAGAACATGTCATGGTGAGTGGATAATGGGATTTGCAGCAAATCTGGGATTCTGCAGTACGCTAGAAGCTGAATTTTGGGGGGCATATTTCGGCCTCCAAATTGCTTGGGAACTCGGCTTTCGTAATGTCATTTTGGAGTTGGACAGCGTAGCAGCGGTCCAATTCTTATCGGATACAGATATTGTCACTGTAAATAGTAATATCTTTTGTAGAATCAGAGGTTTGCTAAACCTCAGATGGCAGGTAACTATAGTTCATGCCAGTAGAAGTCAAAATCGTGTGGCGGACGAGTTGGCAAAACTTGGCTTTTTGTGTCCTTATGGAAGGCAAGTTTTGCCAACACCTCCATCCCAAATCTTAGAGCTTTTGGAAAGTGAAGCTGTCGAGACATCCCAGTATTAGAGGGATGCTTTTGTATCTAAGCCATTAGGCTTCCACATTATATAAAAAAAAAAAAGAATTAAACAAAAATATCTTTGTAAAAAAGGAGAAAACGGAACGATTAAAACAGAACTTCAGAAACAAAAGTAATTGCCGATGAACTTTTTTTTACGTGTTAATATTTTTCTTTTACCATATGTAAAAAATACTTTTTTTATAAGTGAATTTTTTTTAGACCCTCAAACTTTAAAGTTCTAGTTCTGTCATCACATTATTGACTCGGAAATAAAATAAATTAATTAAGATTAGATGGGAGGAGTACAATTTTACACTAATTAGTGGAATGAAAATACACTTGGGATGTGAGAGCCGGCCGGGTCAGAGATGGTAAGACGAATAGGAGATTATTATTATTATTAGGAAATCAAAAGGGTTGACATGAAAAGAAAATTAATGGATTTAAATAGTTGATTAATTCAATGGGTGTGGCTTGAAAGTATTTTTCATTTGTGCGTCAAAAAGGAAAAAAAAAATTTCATTGTTGAGCCTAGCCATCCAGATAAACATCTATAGTATTATACTAAGAGAGAAACCAGAGAGAGAAAATCAAACTTCTCCTCCCGTTGACACATATGGCAAAATCCTATGTGTCATTTTCCTTTAGGTTGACACTAAAAATGTTTACAACAATTACACAAACAGTCCTTTAAATTTTCAGTTAATAAATTATTATCAATTCTTAATTAAAGTATATCAATTAAATGTGTGGTAAACTTTCTATTTTGCATTCCCTAAAATGAAAACGAAAATGAGAAATTTTAAAAATCTCAATATTAAATAAGATTGATTTGAAAAAGATGTGCCCATGGCTTAGATAATGGTATTAAGTCTTGATTTGATCATTAAACAATATTAATGATCATTTGAAATTTGAAAATAATAAATACAAAATTATCAGTGATTCTTTAATTCAACATTAAAGTTGATTGATTGGAAAAGATTTTTTGATGGGCTTGAGTTATGCTATTAATATTGGTTTGATCATTAAACAATATTTAATGTTTTTTTGAAATTCGAAAATAATAAATACAAAATCATCATTGATTCTTTAATTCAACAATAACACTAATTGTTTTGAAAAGATTTTTTTTGATTGGCTTGAATAATGTCATTACATATTGGTTTGATCATGAAACAATATTAATATTTTTTTTAAAATTCAAAAATAATTAATAAAATTGTAGATAATATTTTTTTAGAGATATATCATCTATAGCCTATAGTATTATACTATGAGAGAAATCAGATAGAGGAAATCAAACTTCTCCTCCCATTGACACATAGGACAAAATTCTATGTGTCATTTTCTTACAGGTTGCTACAAAAAATATTTACACAATTACACAAACAGTTCTTTGAACTTCCAGTTAATAAATTGTTATCAACTCTTAATAAAAATATATCAATTAATTGTGAGGTAAAATTTTATTTTGCATTCCCTAAAATGAAAAAGAAAACGATAAATTTTTAAATCTTAACAGTAAATAAGATTGATTTGAAAAAGCTTATCCGATTGGCTTGAATAATGATATTACGTAGTGATTTGATCATTAAACAATATTAATGATTATTTGAAATCTAAAAACAATAAATACAAGATCATCAGTGATTCTTTAATTCAATATTAAAGTTGATTGATTTGAAAAGATTTTTTGATGGGCTTGAATAATATTATAGATATATAAAGTGTATTTATAAAACTCAATTGGGTTACAATCCCAGTTTATACCCGAATCTTTTCTTCTTCTTCTTCTTCCTCTTCCTCTTCCTCCCTCCCCCCCCCCCTCTCTCAAATTTATATTCTTCTTTTTAATAATTATTATTTTTTTGTGTCAAAAGATTTTCGCTTCTAATTTTTGAAAGTTGTGGGCAAATACTTTTCTGCAACAAGGATTTTTGAATACACATTACGGTGAGTTTCTTTGCCAATCTTAAGTAATGATTTCAATGTTTGATGTTTTCTTAGGGACAACAGGTGAAATATATGATGATGATTCGCGAAAATGAAATATATTTAACATGTATATCAATATATGGATCTCTTTATTTTTCTTCTGTAAATAAGTAGCGTATAAAATTACTTTTATTGTAACCTTATTTAATTTAGTGATTTTAAATTGCATATCAATTTACTAAAATACAAAATATTTCTTTAATTATTATTATGTTCGATTTTATACATAATTTATTTCTCCCGCACATCGTGCGGGTATCATCTAGTACTGAACAAAACTAATGAATGCGTTCTTAACGAGTGAATGCGCATTTGGCATTTGTCATTATTAATTATCGCGTTTCTCAAAATAGAATTAATTGTCTAATGTAATGAATTTCCACAAGTAACTAAGTCATGAAGTAAATTTGTATTATTCCAAAAATACATTTAGTAAAGCCAATAAAAACATTTTCTTTTTTTTAAAAAAAAAGTCAAGAAAGAAACAATTTTTTTTTTGGTGTGCATATTTGCAGGGTGTTCACCGTCGATAACAGTAACTAATCTCCCTCGCTGAATTGTAGGCACCTCAATGGGTAGAAGAGTTGGGCAAAATATTTAAGATTGCTCTTGCTAAGAAACAAGTGCTCCAAAACACGTGACGAATTAGCAAGGAACTCAAGGAAGTTTTGGAGTTTGATTGGACACATGATCCAGATCCAGACATTAGGGAAGCGGAACTCATCGGTCCGAAGTAACACAACTTCACTCATGCGGTGATCATCATCCATATCTTATCCCAATTAGATTTCCAATTTACACACTTCACCAACCAAACCGAGATATCGAATAAATTTCTTGGCCGTAAGATGGTGGGCGTGGAGATGGAGTGAGGGGAGCAAAGGAGGCGGAGATATATACAGCAATTGAAATAGTGAGTTTGAATAGAAAAACCTAATTTTCTCTTTGCTTATTTATATAGATTGGCCGTTATGCTGATACGGTTTGTAAGTACGAGTTATTATACTATGCACATTAAGTGTATCTGCATTTAGACTTTTTTTATTATTATTTAATAATAGAGGAACTTCATGTATAATTATTTAACATGTTTTCTTTTTTCTTTTTCAATGCACGTGTCACTTCCTCTTAATTTTAGGAAGTAACTTTTAAAAAACCAAAGACCAAAGATCAAAGAGCAAAGAAAATAAACCAAAGACCAAAGGTCAAAGTGAAGAGCGAGCGTGTGTAAGGAACAACGACAAAAGACTAAAGACTAGAGACCAAGAAATCGAAGACCAAAGAGCAAAAACCGAAGACCAAATATCAGAGTGAAAGAGCGAGCGTGGTGTGAGGAGCAAAGACCAAACGCCAAAGACCAAAGAGCAAATATCAAAGACTAAAGACCGAAGGCCAATGACCAAAGATTAAAGACCAAAGACCGAAGGCTAACGACCAATTTAAATACTGAAGACCAAAGACCAAAAGTCAAAGACTAGAGACCAAATTTTTTTTACAAAAACTAAAGAGCAAAGAGCAAAGACCAAAAACCAGAATTAAAAGCGAGCGTGTATGAAGAGTAAGACCAAAGGCCAAAGATAAAAAATCGAAAAAAAAATATTAGTATTTTTAGGGTTTAGGGGGGTTTGAGCATTTCGTTATCGGTCACGGTCTAGTTGTTTAGGATTCACGGTTTAGGGGAGTTTAAGCATTTTCTTATCGGTTAGTGCCTAGTTTGTGCCGTAATAAGAATAACCTATAAATTTTTTTTAACTCAAAGAAAATAAATTAGTTTGTCTGAGATTTAGGGGGGTTTAACCATTTCCATGTCGGTTAGGGTCTAGTTATTTAGGTTTTAGGGTTTAGGGGATTTAAGTATTTCCGTGTCGGTTAGGGCCTAGTTTGTGCCGTAACACGATTAACCTTATAAATTTTATTAAACCAATTAGACTAGGGTCTCGTTTACGAAATCCTAGCCTAATTGGTTTAAAAAAAATTAAACAAAAAAAATTAGTGTGTTTAGGGTTTTGGGGGGTTAACCATTTCCGTGTCGGTTAGGGTGTAGTTGTTTAGGGTTTAGGGTTCAGGGGGGTTTAAGCATTTCCGTGTCGGATCGGGTCTAGTTGTAAAAGGTTTAGGGTTTAGGGGGTCTAAGCATTTCCGTCTCAGTTAGGCCCTAATTTGTGCCATAACACAATTAAACTTATGAAATTTTTTTAAACTAGTTAGGCTAGGGTCACGTGACCCTATGTAACCCTAACCTAATTGGTTAAAAAACTTTAAACCAAAAAAAAAAATATTAGTGGATTTAAGCATTTCCGTGTCGGTTAGGGTCTAGTTGTTTAGGATTTAGGGTTTGAGGCGGTTTAAGAATTTTTGTGTTGGTTAGGGCCTAGTTTGGTCTTTTGGCTATTGGTTTTTGGTTTTTGCTCCTCATACGCGCTCTTTATTCTAGTCTTTGGTCTTTGGTGTAGGTCTTGGTCCTAAAAGACACAAGTAAAACCATAGCATATTTTAGGAAGGTCAAGACAACTGCATAAATGTTTTAAAGTTTCGAAAAATATATTTATAATGGATCTTGTTGGATAGAAGATATAAGACACTTGGTCTAATCTATTACGGATTAAGAAATAAAATCATTTGAAGATAAAAGAAATTATTAAAACCCATTTTCTAAAATTAGGGAAGAGTGGTGCGTATGTTTTACCTAATTCATAAAGACTTGCATGTTTAACATTCTTTTCCTATATTAATTGCCAAATAAGGATCTATACGTACCTAGTTACATGCACTTAAAACGTGCATGTTATAATTTTCGTATACTACATTTTAATTACACTTGTCGATCAAGAGAAATTCACACCTTAGGAGAATGTGATAGATCACACTTTTAGTACCAAATTTCAGCTCTTACCTAATGCCCTATACAGCAATCAGCGATTCAGTTTCGAGACTTTTTCCTTTTTTTTTTAAAAAAAAACAATAATTTGGCCCCAACACGCATAAGAAATTGAAATCACGTGAAACT